CTTGGTAATGTTGCATACCTAATGCTTAACAAGCATGTAACGACATCGGCGACCTAATAAAACACATTTTAAGTGTCAAACAACATAGGACAGCTGCAACTCCGATTGAAAGAGGTTTAGATAGAGTTAAGCTTCTTCCATATCTGTTCTTTGAGGCGAAGGAATACGTGTTAGGGATGCGAATAGAAATTATGTAGTTTGCTTCCTCGCCACGATTCTCATGAATGCTACGGAGAGGAGCTAAAAAGGCGCTAGAATGTTTTCATCTTAAAAATGAGAGGAGCTAGCGTAAATAGTTCCTCCCTTGCAGCACTCTGTATGAATCAGTTTGCGTTACAACTTGCTAACTAGTACTGATCCTGATCACTGTTAGGTACCTTGCAATTCGCAATTTCGCGCTCATTATAGCCATTTAACATGCAAAGCCAACCAACGCCAAGGCTTTGTTTTGAGATAAACGAAAGGTTTTAGAAATCCCAGCGGTACTTTGTACCTATACTTTGCCCTGGTGGGGTGGTCGCCTAATTACAAGGTTCATATTGATGATATTGAACGTATTCAGAGAAGATTCCTTAAAATTCTCGACTACCGAGAAAGCCCTGATCGGTCAAATTTAAATGACAAAAGCAGACTTAGCGAATATAAGGTTCAGCCATTAAAGACCCGACGCACTTAGTCGATTTGGTTAATCTCTATAAAATTATACATTATATTATTGATTCACCGGAGTTACTTTCTCAAATCAGTTTCAATACTAAAATTAGTGCCTGTAAGGCTAATGATACGAATATATTTGCCCTTTAAATATATAAAAATACTATTTCTTACTATAATCCATTCGAAAAGAATGGCCCGTCAATATAATGATATCTCAAAAGTCAATAAATTACTAGAAATACATTCTCCATAGTGAGTTGGCTCACATTAGCTGCTTACTTACTTTGTTACTTATTGTTATATTACTTACAATATTATGAATCAGAAATAATTTTTGTATAATCTTTTTCTTTGTGCTTCTATGAGTTACGGTTATGATCCAGATCTCAACGATGTATTTATGTTTTAATTTACTGTGATGTGTTTTGTGCATTTAATAAAAAAAAAACATGGTAGAAAGACAATACAAACCTACCCACCCACTAAATTACTCAATATCGCAAAACATCAAAGTAAGCTTCGAAGTGTACATATAAGGCATTTAGAAGGCCAAACATAACCTTGGATAAAACGAAAAAGATTCCAACGAATTAACAAGATTGTCACGTTCAGATTATCGCAGAAATAATCGTAGAATAACTTTAAAGGTTTTGTAGGTACCCATTTATACTCGTAGCAGCGTTAGGATTGAGTAAAATGGCCGCATTTCTTTTATATAATAGCCATTTTAGATAATATTTTGATACTCGTAGCGTAGTTTACAAAGAGTAAACGCAAGTTGAACGCGTTTTGAAAAACTATTAGTATAAATGGTTTCAGGAAAAGCAAGAAATGCTTAAACCGGATGTTTCTAAAGGTGTTATAGTTTGATTTTATGCCTATGATATTAACTTCTTGAATGATAAACAAAAAGCAATCACTTTTTTGTTAACAGAAAACTAATCCTGCCTCTCGTTGCAAATTAGTTCCTCCCTTTATTTTATTATGTGCACCTGGTGATAATGGTGAATTTAGAGTGTATAATTATAATACACTCTATTTTACATACAAAGCGCCATCTGTCGATCAAAAAATACTTATCTTAAGAAAAATACTGAAGTGATCCTTCATCGTCTATTCTTTGATCCACAAATTGTGATTGCAATCTAGAAACTCTAATTTTGTTACTTGTGCAATCTTAACCGCACCTTGCAAGTACCTAACTTTACTCTACGTTAGATTGCAACTCACAACCGACAAATATTTGTAAGTTAGAAGTCTAATGGCATTTTGTGAAAAATTATTTAATATGAATAAGACCTCATAAATTGTTTTATTTTTTATTTTTTATTGGTAACAAAAAAGAAAATTTGATTTTCTGTCTAAAAAGTATTTTTTTATAATATTTTATATATTTTCCTTAAACCTCTCTGACATGCTTATTTGATTTTGGTACCAACGGTATAAAATTATCTTTGTCCATTATGGTCAGTTACGCGACCAGATCTGTTTGGTCTGATGAAAGAAGGGCCTGATTCGGCCGAATTAAAATTTGAAATGAGTGCGGGATTGCAACTTCTATTCACAAATGACCATGTATTAATTAACGTTTTAAATCTTTTCTTAACATAGGGCATATAGTGTGTTGCTGGTTTGCTTACAAAGATAAACATTTTACTAGGTGTATTATAAATAACAATTGTGTGTTATCTTTATATGTACTTAATACCTTCTAATCTATAAAAGTAGTTCTTGTTACAAAATAATAAATAATACAAAATAATAATAATTGTTACATAATAAGGATTAGCCAAATAAATAACAAATAGGGTTTCTGTTGTCGGTACAAATACAGCTGTAAATAAGTCACAAATTGATCTATATAAGAAATTGTGCATTATATTAATTTTAACAGGATAGTGTAAATATACTAATTAGAAGTTTTGACACGAACACTGACCATTAACAAACTTATTCCATAAAGAGCCACATAACAACAAAAAAATATTGTAAGAAGTTTTTTCATTTCTTGTCAAAAAAAAGAGTACCTATTTAAAACAAAACGGAGCACTTATTCTCAATGTGGCTTAATTTTGTTTTTATTTATGTTTGTTACATCAGAATCACTATTTAAAACGGTAAACTTTCCGTTTGGTTCCAATCACATATGAGAAGATAATTCTACCCCTGAAGGTGAAAATTAGGTAATGAAGAATACGGTATATTCCAATTCATCACCATGTAGGTGTAATGAATCAGTCTGATATGTGATACTTTTTAAAAGTTAAATGTCATTTTTTTATCTTTATTGTACACTATATGATTATTTAAGGCAGGTATTTTATTGCCAGTCTTAACACAATTTCAATTTAAGCAATTTCTTTCACACCTTTCTTCGAATGTGATGAGAGCCGATTTAAGGTAGACTATAATGTACTTCTTGATTTAGAAACTCAAATATAGATTAAAATACATAGCACTAGAACATGGCTCTTTATCTACTTACATTAGTTGTTTAACTTCCCCTTCATTCACTAGTTAATCATAACATTTGATGAATCAATACTTTGATTCACTCAGAAATGGATGCCACGTGCAAATTATATGTAAACATGTCTTTGTCTAAGGAATATTCAAAGCTTTTCAATGAGTGATCTTGACATTATTATTATATTGATAACATAACATGACACCGTGAGTAACTCGAGTCCTTAGTTCATTTGTCTAACTATGATGCTAAGACCTTTGTCTGCTTCCCTATTTTTTTTGTTATCGACCTAGGCAATCTAATTACTACAAACAGTTAAACGGCTGGTGGGACTTAATTTAGTTTCCCACCAGGATCAGCTTAAGTTGTGACCATAGACTCCCCAATAAATGTGGCTATCCCTGAAATATATTGCTATTTCCAAAACCACCGTAAATCGACTTCCAAGTTACATATTCCGTTCAAAAGTCAATATGAAATATTTCCATCAATCAAACTTTAAATATCCATTCACAAGATAAAATCCACAAAGGATTAAACGTTTAAATATAGCTAAGACATAAGTCAAAGACGAAAAGTAATTAACGGCAGAGATAAAGTTGTTTGTGGAGAAAGTAGCAACCAAGTATAATATTAATTAGGATTAGAAACAAGTTTTAAAGGCAGTTCTAGACTTGAATTCGGCGTTAAATGAGATCATATGAATCATCGATAAGTTTTTCTATGGTCTTGCAATTTCAAATAGAAGAGAAAGACAGTGCTTGTGCAATATTTTTTTAATTTCAAAATGAGAGCTTCTATCGTTAAGACCTTTAATTTCTTTCGCCATGTTATGATGGAATACCGCAGAAATAGGAAGAAATCTTATTTTTTTTTTTACCCCGATAGTACTTTAAGAATATTTAAAACCTCTCGTTTATTTGCTGTTAAAGAGAACTACTTTGCAAACTGGAACTAACCGTGATGATTACAGATGTCTCTGAACATAATAAATATCTAAATAGCAAAAATCTCAGGGTATTATTAATAATAAAATAATACTGCAAAATCTGCAGCTCCAGACCTTAATACAGAACCTCAAACTGCCACCCGCCTAAAGAACTTTAGTTTTTTGTAGTATGCATAACATTTAACACGGGCGGGTTTTTTTTTTAAATTAAACCCTGACTTAAAATCAATAAGCGTAGTATACATAATCGTTGAAATACCTTATTAAGAAAGAGTCAAGGTTGCCAATGCCTTGTACAGTAATCGCTTAAATTATAAATATTGCTTCTTAAATTGACAAAACCTTTTAAAATATTACATACAGTAAGTGAAATCTTGTTAAGTATGTACTTTTATTAAATTTTACGATTTTCTATGCATTTTTTACACTTTCATCACATCACATCAACAGCCTTTAATAGTCCACCGCTGTTGGACATAGGCCTCACCTTAGAAAGGAGGTGTATGCTTTATAAAATTTTAATTACTCCTAAAGCCTAACAGCTTATAGATATATCATATTTTTTTTGCATATCAATGGCTCCAGCGTCTTTTAAATCTTATATACAGCATGTGGACACCGTAAGGAACACGCTTGACATTGAGTTCTCTCATTATTATGAAAACGAGCAATAATAAGTGTGAAATTACTAATAAAACAATTGTACTATTACAGAACAATGGAAACATTAGTAACACACGTATTATAACACCGTATTATACACAGTCACATAGCACACAGATAAAAAACCGTTTAGTGTAGAAATAAAAATAATGAACAAATGTCGAATAATGTACAGTCTAACTTAATTAGCTTACAAACGTTAAAGTGTCTCTTGGACGATTAATTTCAACTAAAACAATAGCTAACTAAATTAATCGATAATAGTTAACTTACCAAGTTACTATCACCATCGAATCCATTCTCAACCAAGATGTCTTCGAACAATATGTCTGCTTCACACGGAGAACACAAGTTGCTGAGCAATTCACTAAACCTTTCCACTTTACGCACACACACAGCCCCTAGCAAACCTCCAACATCCTCTTTCACTTTTGGCACTACACTATCTTCTACTTTAACAACTTTAATATCTATTGCTTTATCAGCAGCAGGAATATAACTATTGTGACTATATTTGAGCCCATCATCAGCCATAACCTCGTCATTTATCAATATTTCGACACCATTCTGGTTTTCAACTTCATCAACAACAAGATTATTAAACAAATCCTCTATCTTTTCTTTTTCTAAACTATTAGAGACATCTTTTTCGTTTGCAATATCGTTAAAAAATTCTTCACTATTCACTCGTGAAAGTATTTCATTATTTACTTCGTTTCTCTTGCCATTCGTTAAATTTTCTTCTTTACTAGGATTCGAATTTTTCTTCTCGTCTATTTTCAAAACGCTCTTCTCGTCAATATTCTTTCCATTAGGACTAGTCATTATAAAATTAGTTTTGTCTTTTTCTAAAATAGTTTTATTATTGGAATGTTTCGATTTCGTCTTAATAGCACCAATATCTTTATCAAAGCGCGTTGCAGTCACACTCTTATAATTTTCTTTTTCATTGCTCTGTCTCCTACTAGGTCTCGTTTTATCTCTATCTAGTAACTTAGATTTTTTAGGAGATTTAATTTTAACATCTTCAAGTAGAGATTGGACTGACGAACTTCTATTGGATTTTCTTGGAGACGGCGATGTATCGGAATGCGTTGCAGCAGCAGCTCGTAAGCGTGATGTACGAGTTGTTCTAATAGGCACTGATGTTGAAATTGTATTAAGGTTAAGGTCAGAGGAAGACTTGAGATTAGCGGCATCATCTTCTGGAGGCGTCTGCGAAGTTGTTCGTTTCGGCCGTCTGAAATTATTAACGAACATATATTACGCATAAATATTTAAAACCAATATTTATAATAACCGTCTCTTGCGTAGCGCAATCAACACAAAGACAATTGCTAAGTACGTATACGATAAATTTTCAACCTACCTCTCAGTGACATTAACAGAAAATAATGTCGCAGTTCTTGCTGTTAACTGTTTTCTTCTCTCCTCCTTGTACTTTTGTATCCTGGCCGCCCGGGCCTCATCCTGCGACTGGCTCATGTCGCTTTCGCACTCCCGTCGACGTCACGTACACCAGAACCTCTCGAAATTTTTGTGTGCTTGATTTTCGTTGTAAAAATAAGTGTAAATCTTGTCTAGCATGGCGGCATCAAGCGCGCTGTAAGGCGGAATTTTTGGCAGTGATGAATATACACTAAAGCTGGTCCAGTTGCGAGATGACCTGAAAAAAAAATTACGTGCAGTTTAGTAAATCTGTGTCAGTTCTAATTATTTGCACATCTGAAAGGTCTTATGTATATTACATTCTATTACACGTAAATCTCTTGCATTGGTTACCTTAATTTCTGTTATAAGTTTTCTAATAAGTTATCTCTTTCTAGCAAAAACTTTCTTTTACTGATTAGTTTTTCAATTACTTTGAGTTAGACTAAGTTATAACAACTAAAAGCATACGATACTTGTGAATGTTACGGGATCAATACAAGATCGGAGGTATATCGCAGAACACAAACAATGATATTGAATTTATCAACCCGTTGTTCATTTCACGCGAATGACCCGTAGGCTTTGTTCTATTGTCATAGGACATAACCAAGGGAAATGTTACAAGTGAAAACAGCTGTGAAAGTACATACATTCACTTTCATGTTAGTGATGAGATATGTTATTCTCCAAATTAAGCTTTAAGTCTAAGCTACCAGATGTCGCAGAAAGTTTTGCGACAGAGACAAATATACATTGATTTGATTTCAGCAAGTATAATTCCAACGACCAATAGGCCAAGAAAATATTATTATAATTACGTGAGAATAAATGTAGTTTCATCACTTAACAAAAATAGCCTAGTTAAAGCAGCAATGATATCTTTATTTATGACAAATGAGTACTTTATATACGTGAATAAGATGTGAACGTGAACAATATCGACGCCATTTGTATTTCAAGTAACTGCTATATAAAATTCTTCACGAGCAGAATGTGCAATAAAGTGCCTATCTAGGCAAATAAAGTACACTTTATTCTTTACTGTGTTGATAGATGTACACAGTAAAGTTTTTAAAGTGACCCTTTAAAAACTTTACTGTGTACGGCGTCGATATTGTTATGGTATTTTCTAAATACGAGCTTAAGCAGAACTGCCTTGTAAATATTCAATGGAGAAGTCCAATTTCGACAGGTATTAGTTTTATCACAGAAGATTTACAGAGTTTTAAAATAAATATTATACAAAAAAAAAAACATTTATATGATGGTGCTATTCATTTATTCATTACACATTCACATGAAAGAACCAAAGCTGATTGGCCGTAGTTGGCTGGAGTAATTTTCAACCTATAGGGAATTACAAAAAATGGATTCAGTTAATCGAAAATATGTATAAAGAGGTAGTCCACAAGTTAGTTACTTTTCAGAATTTTTAGGCGCGTAAGGAAGACCATTTTTCTTCAAAGAATGAAACGAACGTTTCAGCTTTTTAATATTATAAGAAATGACAGTTGAGTAAGTAATGTTGTAGCTTCTATAAAATCTAATAAATAATATAGCACGTTAGAGAATCAAAAGAAAACTGATAATTTTATATAACATCACGTAATGGGGAACCCCACATTCTGTTACTTATTTTTCTTATATTTATTTTTCATTTATTTTTTTGCTAACGTAGACTAGAAAAAAAAGTCCTTATTTGAATGTGTGGAAACGGAAAGCCACTAAAAATCAGTGGAGGTGTGGTGGGTGGTGTATTAAATCTTCGTAATCGGAAAACGTAACCACGTGCAGTGACCGAAACGTTTGTGACTACATGGTTGAAACATCACGCAAATAAAAAGTTTGTAATACCTATTACATGAATGCGTCAATTCGAAAATCGTGTTATATACAGTATAATGTATAATAATATGCTACCTTCGACTTCGGTTCAAAAAAAAAAGTAAAACATACTTAATATGATAGTACACTGGTTGCTCGTATGTCAGATGTTATTGACATTGTTGACGGATACAAAGCAGTAATTATAATTAATTATATTCATGGTTAGTCATGATTAAGTTGTTCTGTGTACAGATCAAGGCAATGGCAGATAATGACGATGTGTAGCGGTATAAAGATCGCCTTATAAATATAAAGGACTTCACACGTTGCATTATTTATTCAAAACCTGACATAAACTTTGTGCTAGCACGTCGAATTGGAAGAAATTAGGTATATTGAGCGCCAATGTCTATTTATTGCCTTTCAAGGCCTCTACTATTCTTTTAGCTGTATGTTTTGATTCAAATAACTATATAGAATATTTTAATATATATGGTACACAGCGGCGGCGATGTCTGGCGATATTACTACAAGTGCAATGCTTTCTTGCTCAGGCGCCGGAGGTCGCAGAACGATCTCCGACGGGTGAGGCCTTAAAAAAAAGGGGCCACGGAAAACTTAATGCGTATTAATTAACTTAAAGCATATTCGTTTGAACTTTCATCCTTACTACTGTCTGCGACTTCATCATAAAATGATTACTCTTAAATATATTTAATGCACCAACACCGTTCACTCGATCAGCAAAAGAAAAATAGAATAACTATCCCTAACTCCAGAAAAACAATTTTCCCAAAGAAATTTAAAATAACTGTTACTGAAGTCAGACAGCAAAAGCTATTATATCATTACCTATAAAGTTGAAGATTTTTAAAACGAGCATTTTCAGGTTTCATTTTCGGTGGATTGGAGCGCAATACGAAATTCAAATAAATTTTATATGAAAGCCATGTTATTTTAATTCACAGATAACCCCCTAATAGATTCCGCATACAGGGCCATAAAGGGGCGCAACACATACTTGCTATAGCGAGGATACCACGTGACGATAAGAATCGCTACATTAGTAACGACCAAGTTCGTGACCCGTACGAACGTCCGAGTTCTTGACAATTTAATGACCGTTTTATTTCGAAATATATTAGAAATGGCTTCCTGTACGGTGAAATGGTATGGCAAGTAAGCTAAGACATCCAGTTATCAAAAAGAAAGTATAAAATTTCATCGGTATAATATAATTTACTTATATTCTTATCATAACCAATTAGAAATGCACCGGAGTCAACTTATAATGGTGCAAATTGTTGTGATATATAGGTTGATATTGATTTGGTCATCTTTTGATTTTTTTTGTAAAAAATAGTGTCGTATCATTTTGGTATATGTTATTGGTTTCCTAAATCTTTTTTCTACCAAAAATGGTATGATTTGCTCAAGACACTTCACAGAAGACAATCTTCATATTATGAAAAACTGAAGAATGCTGTTAGAAGACAAGGTAGACAGATCCTAAGGATTCTGTGAGACGTATTTATAATAAGCTCATCCAATTTAAAAATCAGTAAAATATGTATTTAAAAATCATATATACAAATCTGTGCCTCCTATGATGAGGGTTTAAGTCGAGTTTTACCCTTTTTGTGATTTTTACATAGAAATATTAAGAAAAAGACTTAATTTTTTTTTTGTTTAACTCACGTTCTTTCTTCTTCTTTCATCTTCATTGTGGCGCCATGCGTATTGTATTATTGTCTTAATAAGAGTTTAATAAAACTCTATGTAGGTCGAACATATTTATATAAAACGTGATTGATTAGATCCTTTAATTTTAATCTATACAAGGCAGTAGCGTAGGTGTTTTTAACGTTCTTAAACAGTTATATCAACAATAATATTATCTATAAGCAAATGGCAGTTTTAAAATATTTATATCAAATTATTTCTACGAAATGATTTAAAGTTAAGTGCTCAGGCCTCTTAGTTTTACATATTCGTCGTAGTTAATATGTTAATAACACAATATATTATGGATACGATTATTAATAGGTATGAAAGTAGTTAATAAAGTTGTAAATAACATACACTTTTTTGGAATAGCTTTTATTAAAAATGCTTAATGATGTAAATTTGTTTTTCAAGTGTTATAAGTTTTGTCAAGTTTTCTTTCGGACATTATTTAAAAGTTTACCAGGTAAAAGAATATTGTCTACATTTTTTCTCCATTTTCATTTCCCCAATAAATAAAATAATAAAGATTTAAGGTTACTTTTAATACGTATTTTTATTTGCATCTGATGAAGTGACGGTGGAAAACCTTACTGAGCAGATAAGAAAAGAAAAATAATGCCGACCGTGTATGTACCGACGGCATTAGTACTAATTTTTTACTAAGTTTGTTTTACATGAACTTAATTTTGTATTAATAGATTAAATTGCATTCAATAACTTTTGCTATGTTTAATGTTAGAGTAGGCGCTTTTTTATATTACACTAACTTAAATGTGATATATTTTTATCTGTTACTTTAGCTATAAAGAAGAGGCCTCATGACCGTATGATTTTCCATTGAAATGAACTATTTTAAAAATTTACATCATGTTTCAAAATGTACATTATTTTTTAAATATTTAATTTTTACTCATTCTTTCGATTTCCTTCCTTAAGGCATCGAAACGTAGTAGGAACTAAGTAAATATTTGATTTTAAACGTTTTGATTAATTATTTATAGGTATTTACGTACATAATATATGTACAATTAATTACACTTAATGAAGTACATGTTTAATATTCAGTGTGCCGAATTGTGTGTCTGTGTTCTTAATGTGTATTAAGTTGAAGTTATAAATTTACGCATTTAAATCGCAAGAGATAAAGCCCTATCATCACTTTTTAAATGGTATTTCTTTATTGTTCATTACTGAACCGCAGAGTGTTTTCATACACAAAACCTTTCAAAGAAGATTAGATTGTGTGCGGCAATATTTAGAGGTTATATTCCTTGCTTCGGTTGTCGCAGGTAGGAGAGATTTCAAGTCACGACTTCAGCAGAACTTAAAAACGGCTAAGTTTATAGCACGGGTTTGGCATCGGTATTGACGTTGTAGTTTTAGTAGTAATTGTTAGCAAACATGTCGTGTATGTCGTTATAACTCGTAAAATTATAATGCGGGTTTTTAATGTCAGAGTACCAACTTAGCCATAAGACAAATATGACGAGATAACTTAA